GGTGAGACCTCAGATAACAGGGTTGAGGGTCTGACTGCTTTAGTAGAATTAAGGATTTTGTTTCTTTGAGGATCCATCCTGGCTCTAGCACAGTCTAAGCCAAAACCCTTACTACCCTGAGTTTTCATAGCCAGGCATTTTTCCCTCATTGCCTGCCCCATCAAATGACCTAGGTGGGTGGATTTGGAAACCTTTTGGGATTCTAGATGGCTTTGTCCTGTCTACAGGTATGTTGTCACATCAATTGAAGCAGCATGTCATCGATGGAGAGAAAACCATTATCCAGAATCCCACAGACCAGCAGAAGTAGGTGCCAATTACACCCTTCACCTTCCACCATCTGAGACTAGTCATGAATGTTTTCTTCCATACGCCCAGCCTAATCGTGTCTACCTTCTACTTCAAACTCCAGGAACTACTCATTGTTTTTATTATTCCCTTTTTATTTCTTTTAGGAAGGACCATGAAAAAGCTGAATTTGAGGTACATGAAGTATATGCTGTGGATGTTCTTGTCAGCTCAGGAGAGGGCAAGGTGAGGAGAGTTTGTCGTAGCTAGCAAAGAGGGATGCCTGAGGGTGTGTCCTAAGAGCTCCAGACAAAACGTGACCTAACTTACTACTCTTCTAGGCCAAGGATGCAGGGCAGAGAACCACCATTTACAAACGAGACCCTTCTAAACAGTATGGCCTGAAAATGAAAACTTCACGTGCCTTCTTCAGTGAGGTTGAAAGGCGTTTTGATGCCATGCCATTTACTTTAAGGTACTACGACCTCACTTAGCAAGAACGGGACTTGGAACCAATCTGATTCATAGACCACACACCCAAGAACACTGTTCCTTCTCCCGGCGCACCCCCCTCCCACCCCGCCCCTGCCTAGACTTGTAGCTCCAGCCTGCATGCATGCCTTCTCTCCTCCCCATTGCCCTCTCATTGAAGATAATATGAAAGAGCAGTCCTAAGCATGATTTCTGCCTGAGGGTAGGTACTATTTAAAACCAGGAGGAAAATGGTAAGACTTGATAGAGGGTTAAGGATACCTGAATTTGTCTTCCCCCACCCACCCAGAGCATTTGAAGATGAGAAGAAGGCCCGGATGGGTGTGGTGGAGTGCGCCAAACATGAACTGCTGCAGCCATTTAATGTTCTCTATGAGAAGGAGGGTGAGTTCTAAGAGAGAGCTTCACTTTGGAGCCCCTGATTAGGGTCCCCTCCCTCTAGCTTACAGAAAAGAGTATGACAAGGGAGGATTTTACCAAAAACACTTCCTTTCTCCTGTAGGTGAATTTGTTGCCCAGTTTAAATTTACAGTCCTGCTCATGCCCAATGGCCCCATGCGGATAACCAGTGGTCCCTTTGAACCTGACCTCTACAAGTCTGAGATGGAGGTCCAGGATGCAGAGCTAAAGGTCAGTGTGTGATGGAAAGTGTGAGCATATGGCACCTGTCCTGGGAATGAGAATGAGGTAGCAACAAAGAGTTAACGATACTGAGAGTGACACTTCGTGTTTTCTACATTGCTCAAAATTTGTTTTCCTTCTTCCTCCTATTTTCCAGGCCCTCCTCCAGAGTTCTGCAAGTCGGAAAACCCAGAAAAAGAAAAAAAAGAAGGTGTGTTATGATCTTTGCTCTCTGGCAGGGTGAACCTGATCCCTCTTTAGTCTATCTTCCCGGGTTGTGGTGGGCATACATATTTCTGTATACCCTTACTTCCCCCCCCTCACCTCAGCCCTGACCTAGAGCATTAGGATATTTTTGTCCTTGGTCTCCCAGATACTATTGCAAGTAGTTGGAAATTGAGAAGTCTTCCTCTCCTTTCCATGAATATAGGCCTCCAAGACTGCAGAGAATGCCACCAGTGGGGAAACATTAGAAGAGAATGAAGCTGGGGACTGAGGTGGGTCCCATCTCCCCAGCTTGCTGCTCCTGCCTCATCCCCCTCCCACCACACCCCAGGCTCTGTGAAGTGCAGTTCGTCTTCTCCACCCAGGACCGCCAACAGAGCAGGGTCTCCCTGCCCCCATCCCTGTCCCCACCCAACCCCTTCCAACAACAACCAGCTCCAACTGACTCTGGTCTTGGGAGGCCAGGCTTCCCAGCCACCGAAGACTACTTTAAATAGAAAAGAGAAATTGAATAATAAAATCAGGAGTCAAAATTCATCGTCTTCAAGCCCCTCTTTCTAGCCTTTTTCTACTACTGTCTGCTTGGTCAAGGTTTATGGCCCTAAAACAGAACAGGGAGAAGGCTAAAGTAGCCACCACCACTAAAAACTCAGCTGAAATTTTTTTATACCACTCTAGTGTCAGCATTTTCCCATCTGTTGGGGCTTGTTCCTCTCTTTTCCCACTCTCCCCAGGTATTTTACCAGGTCTCAAAATAGAGAGGAGCTATATTCTTCAGATTGTTTTTATTCACATGTGGCAGATTCCTTTTCTGATCCAGACTGTCTGGTTAGGCCCCTCTCATTTTTAGGAGCCGGAGCCTGCATTTACCAAGGGATTCTCATCTGTCAAATGGATCCTCATTTGTAAATCTCTTTAGTCATTTTTGTTCCACAGGACTTTTTTTTTGTCTTCACAAAGCTGTAAAGGAGTAATCCATCTCAACCTTGTCTATTTCTTTGGAGTCAGTCGGGGTGCGGGGGGGGGGTGCATTCCCTTGTTCCATCTTAGAAACCTGAGCTGGAAGCTCAACTGTGGTTTTGTTCCCTGTTTGAAATATTTTGACCTCCCTCCCTGAAAGAAAGACCAGGAACCAGAGGAGCAGACTGACTGAAGAGACAACTCCTGGCTTTTTGAAGCTGTGGACTTGGATTGGATGAATTGCTAGGGGTTTGGAGAGAAAGGTGATGAATTTCAGTACCTCTGGCATGCTGTCCCAGGGAACTAGGGCTCCCGCTAACTTATGAGGTTTTTAAACATGTTGAAAATGACATGGCGTTAAAATAAATTTGGATTTGCTCATAATCATGTGCCTTTGTATGCTGCTCTTATTTGATGGAGGTGGGGGAAATGTCAGTTGAAGTGATGGTCATTTGGAACTAGTTTTCTATATTGCCATATTCTGCCTTTTTAAAATGAGAAATACTGTGGGTTGGGAAGACCTAAATCCTGGATTCTCTGAATTAAAACAGTAAATTTTTTTTGAAAGTTTTTAAATTTTTCTAGAGTAAAATCTTACCCCTTATTGGTGACAGTTTGTTCAGGACGAGGTGTACTACAAAAAAATAAAGCACTGTATACAAGTGGTTATCTTGATTTAGGAAGCCATAAAGAATGTCTTTACTATTACACAATTTTTCAGGGCCAGTCTGAGATGGATGGATAATATGTTAGACTATCTTAGATGTGAGGCATTGCTGACCTGGAGATACTATAGTAAACAAAATGGCATAGGTCCCTTCGTAAGAGCTTATGAACTACAATTGACCCCTGAACAACATGAGGGTTAGGAGCACCAAGGTGCTGGCACAGTTGAAAATTCATACATAATTTTTGGCTCCTCAAAGCTTAATAGCCTACTGTTGACCAGAAGCTGTAGGATAACACTTGATTAACACATATTACATGTTAAACGCATTATATACTCTAGTACAGTAAGCTAGAGACAGTAAGAAAATCAGAGGGAGGGGCGCCTGGGTGGCTCAGTCCTTAAGCGTCTGCCTTTGGCTCAGGTCATGATCCCAGGGTCCTGGGATTGAGCTCCCTGCTCCCTGGGAAGCCTGCTTCTCCCTCTCCCACTCCCCCTGCTTGTGTTCCCTCTCTCGCTGTGTCTCTGTCAAATAAAATCTTAAGAAAAAAAATAAGAGGGAAAGAAAATACATTTACAATATTGTGTGTATATTAAAACTCCACAGGTACGTGTACCCATGGCAGTCAAACCTGTGTTCAGGTGTCAGCTGTAGTGGGCTATCAACAGGTGAAATCCTGGTGGACTTGATAGAATGTTGCTGGGGTTTTTTTATTCTCAAAATTTTTTTCATATTCTGATGGTGACAATACTAGAACTACTTAAAAGCTTGGAACGAGGGTCCTAAGTGTGAAAAAACAAAGTTTTTTTCCCCCAGAGTTAAAAAGGTGAAGTGTTACCGTATAAATTATAAAGGGAAACCACGAAAAAAGGATGATCACCAAAAGCCTTACAGTCTCTTATTATAAAAGTTAGGTGACGTCTGTATGGTAGAGGGTTCTTTTTCATCCTTCCTAAGTCAAGTTTCCTATACCCAAACCTATGGGTATATTTTCTGAGTGCTTCTGACCTGACCATACCGTGAAACTGGAAGTTCTTTATCCTAACACCAAATATTCTCACTCTAGAGAAGACAGCTGATCTTGCTGCTTCTATTGATTTGATCTTCACCCCTCGGTAGAGGGAGAGTCACTGAAGTATTTTCTGAACAAGATGCACTGTGGCCAGGAACCCTGTGACATTCATTCAGCCTCAGGTATTGTGGGGAAGGGCCGTGGTTGACAAGAAAAAAGCGTTGATCTAAATTACAAAGGTCTCTTTTTGTAGTATGACGGATTTCTCGACTCCCCACTTTACATCTTCCCACGTTCTGTAATCTTAGGACCTTCGTAAATTCCGAGATAGAATCTCCCCACAGCAATTTAGAAAATAAACCAGTAAAAGAAATTAGGAATTTTTGGAGAGTCCGCACTTATCCATAATAAAATGGAGGGTGTCCCCCGGAAACTGCAACTCCCATGAAGCGGTGAGAGGGGAAGGCGGAAGTCACTATCATCTGCTGTCGGCACCTCTCGGTCCCACATTGGAAATATGTGCTCACGTTGTAATAATACAATGGCCTCATAAGAAAACTGGGGAAGGGGAATTTTGTAACTCAAATTTAAAATGTTTCCAAGAGAGCTGCTAATTCAATCATTTAATCTGGCACCTGAGGGGCTGAAACCAATTGTTACTCCCCTTGGGTAGTCCCGCCCCTGGAGGAAGAGTGAAATAGCGGAAGTGACGACACAACTCCCTATTAAATAGTTGGAGGCGGGTCGCGGGCGCTCTCTCGGCCTTAGCGCCATCTTCTCGGGTGAGTGTAATTGCTGACTGTGTTCGGATTCCGTGCACAATCCATTAACATCTGATCTCTGCACTTGCCATCATTACAGCAAACTAACTGTGGCCTTTTTCTCTTTACCTGTAGAAACCTCTGCGCCATGAGAGCCAAGGTAAGCAGTCCCTGGCAGTAACCTGAGGCAGTCGCTACTGGTGATGGGTGGGGGGGGATAGCCAAGCACGGGAAGTCCGCCATGGTTCCCGAGCCGCTGGGTTCTCAAGGGTGCCCAAGAGCTCGTGGGGGAGGAAGGATAATTTGGGGAGCAGAGGAGGTGGCTATGTAGTGTGGGTAGAGAGGGCGGGAGTAGAAAAGCGCACGCGGGATTCATGTTTATGTCGGCGGGTAAGGGTGGGAGTCCACAAATTATTGATAGGGGTACTGCTTGGGCAGGAACCTGCCAGGTTTTAATAATGCCCTTCACATCCCTGCCTAAACCTGTAACTAAAGCTAATAATCTCTTGTTTTATTCACTGCCTCTCGTTATGATCGGTTGCCAGTGGAGGAAGAAGCGAATGCGCAGGTATGTTGAGACTTGACCGGCCAAAACAGGAAGAGGGAAATGTAGCGTGCCTTGGACAAAACGTGGGAGGAACATTTGGTTTAGAAATCTAAAAGAACTTGTGAAAAACAGTTCTAAGTATTGACTTTACTAGTCAGGGATTGAACACAAGAAAATAGGACCAAGTGCTTGTTTGTTTTGCCACCCCAGGTATCGGATGCACATTTCTTAAGATGGGAGGGAAAGACAACTTGGGTTTGTGGGCAGGAGATGATTCTCGTGTCTGCTTTTTCAGGCTGAAGCGTAAAAGAAGAAAGATGAGGCAGAGGTCCAAGTAAACCGCTAGCTTGTGCACCCATGGAGCCACAGGAGCAGAAATAAGGAAAGCCAGAGGCCAGGGACGCTGGTACCAATTGTTGGACTGCATGCCTACTTTCTAGAGCTTGATTCAAGGGCTCTAGATCATCGTCATCTGATCGCAACGACCACCTTTGAAGAGACCTGCCTTGTTCATACCAAAACAGTCCCTTTTGGTCCTTTGCCCTGGACCTGTGACTTTCGGGACTAATTCTGTTTTCATTTGTGGCTGGATGTAACACGTGTACAATAAATCATCTCTTCTGCTGTCTTAGCTGAAGAAAAAAAATGCTCTTGTCTGATACGTGGTTTTTATGGTTCCATTGGCTGGGGGGTTCTGGATCAGTGCAGCAGGCCCTCTTGAATACCCCGTGCTGTAGAGTGTCAAGCACGTACCATGGGCTACAGTGACTCCCGTCCTTGGCTAACATCTGGTCCTCGGGTCCTCGGAGCAGCTGGATAACTGGGGGGCCCCTCCCATACTGGGTGTAGTACAAGCACGGGGACAGTTTTCAAGGTGGTTTGCGGCCAAGTTGGGGGCAAACCGCGGTCCCGCCCCTACTCTTGGCTGGGCCTACCTTAACAGTTACTAAGTTCCCGTTTGGGTGCCCTACTGTGATGTTGGGTTGGGTTGCTATGGTGATACGCAAAGCTTGCCGGGAGCTTCCTGTGGCTAGCTGCACAAGTACTTTGCACACCATAGAGTAGTTCCGGGTCTGTGGCTAGAGTGCCATTTCTTCCGCAGGAAGCGGAAGGGCGATAGGGTAGGCGGCTCTTTGTCGAAGCTAGAGGACCGGCAGGCGGCAGCAGCAACTACGGCGGCGGCGGCAGGTGAGGGAGGCGGGAGACTTAGGTAGAGGCCGCGCCCGGAGGGGAGGAGTCGGGGCCGGCCCAGCAGCTGGGCTCGGCCGGGCTACACAAGGCCCCCCAGGACCGAGCTGTTTCTTTCTCACGCCCCAGGGCCGAGCCCTTTTTCTGACTGACCCTGCTTCGCGAGCAAACGCCAGCTCCGTGACGTCACAGCCCTGCCCATCCCCGCAGCTTGATGTCACCTGGAGTCTCCCCTTCCCGCTTCACTTGTGCTCCCTTAGTGTCTTCTTCGTCTGGTCCACGGCTGAGCGCCGGTCGCACTGCACAGAACCTGGCAAGCTAGAAGACTTGCTGTGGGAAACTCCTAGGACTTTTTCCCCAAACTCTGGGGTGTTGCGAAGCGTCATAATCACCGCCTCCAAGTCTAATCAGCCATGCCACTGCACTGTCAGTCGCTGCCCTTGCACGGCTCCCCATTCAGAGTTTACTAATCTCAACCCTAGACCGGGCTCTGATCCTCACATCTTTCTTCATCTTGAGGCAAGGCACCACTCACCCTTTGTTCACCCAGGGCTGGTTTTCCAACCCGTCCTCCTAGGCTCTCCAGATTAGTTCTATCTTCTTATTCTTCTTACTGACAACTTCTCCCCTTGACAGGTGAAATTCAGCTTGAACTCGAAGGAAATCTTGGAAGTGTTCAGAGCTCTTGCCATTTTGTCAAACTTCTTTATTGAACAAACATTTTATAGTCCTTTGTTCTTACCCCTTCTCCCACCCAGTCTCTGTTTGTTTTTTATTCCTGATCAGAACCCAGCAGTGATGTGGAGGTGGAGACCCACAGGAGCCCCGGACTTCACCTGAGCTACCTCAGGTATTGAACTATCCTGGGAGAGTTGGGTGGGGAGGAATATTATACCTGATTATCTGCTTCTGGTGGGACTTGCTACATAGTTCAGGCTTAGAGAGATGGTATTTATTTTTCACCAGATCATTTCACTTTTAGTAAAAGTTTGTATCTTCCTATCTACCATTCTTTTTTCCTTGATTGTTTCTATTCTGGGACTACATCCCTTTGGAGGAAGAGGATCCCTCTTCTTTTACAGATTCTTCTGTAACTCTGGGCTCTGATCTGGTTGGTTCATTTTAGGAAGCCCTGAAGGCAAAATCAAGGCAATGGGGAGGGTGGTTGGGGGGAGATGAAGACCAAAGAAACCAGGAAAGATTCCCTTATACTCAAGAGGAAACAATATGAAGTTTTTCCTATTTGAACAGCAGGGGGAGCCTGATCACTGCCTTAGAAAGGCTTATGAGGTCAGACACGTGGTGGCAGGGACTCCCAGTCTTCTTGGGGATGTGGAGAGGGGAGGGCTAGAACCAGGGCAGTGGACTGACATTCCAGAGCTCTCTTGGGAAAGAGGAGACTTAAAAAGCTTTTATAGAGTCTATAAATAAAGAGGATCTTTATGGGGTGAGGAATGGTGTGTTTTGATGTCAGTGGGATCTTCTAATGGGGAATAGGAGGAGGGTGTAGAATGGGGAAATAAAGGTCACTTGTTCCTGTGAAATTAACTCCTTCCTCCCACCTTGATCTTACCACAAATGGCTTGGTCCTTTGGGGGGGGGGGGGCTCTGTAAGTGGAGATTCCAGCTGTAGAACTCTTACCTGAAATGGAGTGGAGGGGGCTGACCACATGAGTTGAGAGCGGTGGTGAGCTGGGAGAGAATACTAAAAAATGATAGGTTTAGGGACTGCCCTCAAGCTGGTGACACCAATCTCTTTACTTAGGATTTCCTGAGGTCTTGAGATCTGATACTTCACAGTGCCCTCACCTGAGATCCCGTAGAAGAGGAGTTAAGGGAAATTTTGTCTGCAGTGTCCCAATATCCAGAGCCCTAGTAAGCTCACCAGCCCATCTTGGCCACTTCCCAGTCTCCTCCTAACCTACTGAGACACTGAGACAGCAGTTTTAATTTCACTTCCTCGACTTTAATAAGGTCAGCTCAGAAGGGGAAATAAAACCCAACACTATTTTCTCCTTGCCCGCTCCTTGGCCTAACATCATTAGTGAGATGAGGTAGCTTCACCCCAGCTCCCCCCCCCCCCCCATTAGTCAGGCTAGTGTGAATCATTCTGGCCCAGACCCGGTTCACAAGGGCCTGGGCGGGACTTCTGACAGGCCAGCCAGTCCAGCCAGAATTCTCATCCCTTAGATTTTCCATCTCCAAAGCCATTGCCCCTCTGGCCTGCCTCTTGCTGGACTGCCTGCTGTATAGCTGGGAAGAATGTGGACTCTCTGGAAGATTCCTCTTTGACACAGTTCTCCTCTTTCCTAGTGGTCACCAAGGGTGGCAAGAAAAAGAAGAAAGCCCTGAGTTGGGGGGGACCAGGATGCCTGACCGGGACAGCTATGCCAACGGCACTGGGAGCAGCAGTGGAGGCCCTGGAGGCGGTGGCAGTGAGGAGGCCAGTGGGGCAGGGGCGGGCAGTGGCGGGGCCAGCTCAGATGCCATCTGTAGAGACTTCCTGAGGAATGTGTGCAAGCGAGGCAAGCGTTGCCGCTATCGCCATCCAGACATGAGTGAGGTATCCAACTTGGGGGTGAGCAAAAATGAGTTCATCTTCTGCCATGACTTCCAGAACAAGGAGTGTAGCCGCCCTAACTGCCGATTCATCCATGGCTCCAAGGAGGATGAGGATGGTTATAAGAAGACAGGAGAGCTTCCCCCTCGGCTGAGGCAGAAAGTGGCAGCCGGCCTAGGCCTTTCACCAGCTGACCTGCCCAATGGCAAAGAGGAGGTCCCTATCTGCCGCGACTTTCTCAAGGGTGACTGCCAGAGAGGAGCCAAGTGCAAGTTCCGCCACCTGCAACGGGATTTTGAGTTTGATGCTCGGGGTGGAGGTGGCAGTGGTGGTGGCGGGTCAACAGGCCCGGTCCCCCCAGGACGACGTCATGACCTCTATGATATCTACGACCTCCCTGACAGGGGCTTTGAGGACCATGAGCCAGGCCCCAAGCGCCGCCGAGGTGGATGCTGTCCCCCAGATGGCCCCCATTTTGAATCCTATGAATATAGCCTGGCTCCACCCCGAGGGGTGGAGTGCAGACTGCTGGAGGAGGAGAATGCCATGCTCAGGAAGCGGGTGGAGGAGCTAAAGAAGCAGGTCAGCAACCTGCTGGCCACCAATGAGGTACTGCTGGAACAAAATGCCCAGTTCCGCAATCAGGCCAAGGTCATGACCCTGAGCTCTACTGCACCAGCGACGGAGCAGACTCTGGCCCCCACCGTGGGCACTGTCGCCACTTTTAACCATGGCATTGCCCAGACTCACACTACTCTCAGCAGCCAGGCTCTACAGCCTCGCCCCGTATCCCAGCAAGAACTGGTGGCCCCCACTGGAGCTCCGGCTGCTCCCCCAACTAATGCTGCACCTCCTGCTGCTCCACCACCCCCACCCCCACACTTGAACCCAGAGATCACGCCATTGTCAGCGGCTCTGGCTCAAACAATTGCCCAGGGAATGGCACCCCCACCTGTCTCCATGGCTCCCGTGGCTGTATCTGTGGCTCCTGTGGCCCCTGTGGCTGTATCGATGGCCCAGCCCTTGGCAGGAATCACAATGAGCCACACCACCACTCCCATGGTGACTTACCCCATCGCTTCCCAGAGCATGCGTATCACAGCCATGCCACACTGAGGGGGCTAACGGACACTCCCCTGGTATAGCCTCCCAGGGCTGGGGTCAAGGGGCCCTTACCCGCTCGCCTAGCCCTCCCAGGCCCTGTCTAAAGGGCTCACTCAAGAACTAGGACGAGAGACTCCAAGGAGTTTGCTTCTGAGAAGGGGTTGGGCTGGTCTGTTTTCTCTCACCTCCCTTTTATGAGGGTCCTCTTGTCCATCTTCCTTCAAGCCTCACAGAGGGGGCTTGCATAGGAGTGCAGACTGAAGCCAGCAGAAAGGAAGGACTGACCGAGGGGCTGTATGTCCCCTGATGGGAAGACGGGGACATCCTGGTCTTGTCCTCTCTCCTTTATGGCACAGGTTCCAGCACTGGCTTTGTAAGAAAAAAAAAAATAGCCTGCCTAGAGGGAAAGCCAGGAAAAATTGGGAAGCAGGTGGCCAGGAGAGAAGGCCTGATAGGAGCCTTCAGACAATTGGGGGCCCTAGTGGAGTTGGACAATATAGGAACTGTTCCTGGGCCCATGGGAAGGTGGGGACCATAGTACTCCAGCCCAAAGACGAGGGGAGCGTTCATTACCTTGGCTTGGCCTGGAAATCCATAGGGCAGGGCCCACCACTTTCCAAAGAAATAAAAAAAGAATTATTTTTAACAAATGGAGGCAGTGAAAACTTGCTTAGATATTCTGTGTGGAAGATGGGAACAGTAAATAGATCTCATGCCAAAATGGGGTAAAGACCCACCCTCACATAGCTTGGATAAGGCTGGGCTGAGGTCAGGTGAAGGGTAGGGACCCAGAACAAGACCAAATGGGGCTTTGTGGGGTAAAAGCATTGGAGCCACCTAATCTAGTTTAAAAATAGTCCCATCTGTTTCTGGTTTCTATCTGCATGTACTATTCCCAGGATACCTTAGTAACCAGGGCTCCTGGGGTCATTTAGGGGGGCAGGTACTAAGGAGGGGTGGCTGTGCTGGGAAATGGGAATGGGATATGTATTGACAGATCCTTCCCTTATTCAAACAGTAGGGCAGGTGGCAGTTGCTCTCTGAGTTGTTGATGGCAGTTAATATCCCTGTTACCCCATCCCTTCCCCAGTTACTATGCTTTAAGCCTTCAAGGCTTGGGAGGTGCTGGGAAAAGAAAAGTTCTTCTGGGGACACGAGCCACAGTGTTCATCTCTTCCCTCTGCCTCCAAATAGAACCACAGAGGTTTTAAATCCATTTAAGAGTCAGTAAGGCCAGGGGCCCCCCTAGCCAAACCTCAGTTCCTCCTCAGCTCATGGTTGATGTAGGGGAAACAACTCAGGTGTATGGCGGGACAGTGGATTTGGGGTAGAGAAAGTGATCCTGAGTTGTGCTTCCCCCATCATACCTCCTGCTACCTCTTGCTTGCTTGTCTGGTTGATCACTCAGGTTACACCTGGAATTGGAGATGGTGGGCTAAGTCAAGGCTGGTCATAAAGAAAAAGAAATGGCCTATAGACTAAAAGTGGGCAAATACTGAAATACTGTTTGTGGACTTTAGAAACCACACATTGATAAGCTTAATGTTGACTTTTCTGGCACAATTCTGGATTATTAAAAGAGATGGTTTATAAGCATTTAGAGACAAATGTGATCATAGATACCAACATGAGTTCATCCCAGCCAAATCCTGTTTTCTTTTTGCTGAGTATCCCTAAAGGGGTAGATTTGGGAAACTGCAGACATTGTATGTTCCTTATTAACATACGCCAGCTAAAGGCCGCCAGGAATACACTCGTAGTCGAACAAGCTGGTTTTAATGGCTCACTGCAGTGGAGAAAACCCGACGCGTGGGATCCATGGTGTGCCCTAGCAAGGGGCCGTTAGAAAGGATGTCAGGACGTGGACTTTGGTTAAGTGGTTTGGGGGAAGGTTCAAGGAAGTGGGACTTGACTCTGGATTGGGTGCTGTCAGGGAAGCAGGGACACTTCTGTGACTGGGTGTCTTTTATCTAGGAAAAAGGCAGACTAGAGTGAAGCTGGAATTGGTGACAAAGCAGCAGTCATTCATTAGCTGGGAGAGGGGGATGGTTGCTATTTCATGATTTGCACACCGACCATATTTCGCGTTTAACAAAATTGTGAAGTGTGATCTTGTTTCCTGCCTCACTTCATCATAGTCACTGATGCCCTTGTGTGATGTTGTTTTGTGAGATCGTGTCCAGTAGGAGAATACCATTTCCCAGCCATGAGCCCAGCTCAGACCCTAGCAGACCCGAAGCCCCGCCGTGCCAGGCCAGTTCCCAGATGGCAGGGCTGCTGTCCTGCTTCTCACCTGCTCAGTCATTGCGGATAAGACAGTAATCACAGCTCAGTTAATAGTCGAGTTTGGTGGGTCAAAACTCAACGTCTGTGCCTAGTAAATGTTGATTAGTGCATTTTGTTAGAGAAACCTCTAGTCTCTAGTGATATACCCAAGGGCTACGTTCTGTTTAAAAAAAAAAAGAAAAACTTGCATAAAAATATGAAAAGCGCTATTGTCAACAGTAACACAAGGAAATACCAAGTAATGCTGAAGGTGCTGTAATATGGATTCACTGAATTAATCCAAGAGGATAGTTTGGATCAATTTGGATTGACCCTCTCCCTAAAAAATTGCTTGAGCCTGCCTGAGGAAGAAATGCAGAGATCTATATTAGCAGTAATTCACATGAAAACAACACAGCACTTCCAGTTGGTAGCAAAAACAAAATCTCAGGCCTCCTAGTAGGTCGATTCATAAATATTAAGAGCCTGCTATGTTTTAGGCACCTTCTGAGGAGCTCCATAAGGGTAACAGAACCGTAGTAATGCATTGTAAATAGAGTGGGTCTACCGTGTCTGAGTGGAACCACTCCTAACGTATTGTGTGTCCTAAATGTAATTTTTAAAGAGGCCCATCGATAAACCAGTGAGGTAGCAGGGAAAAAAAAAAAAGGACAAGACTAGAGGGAGACCTAATAGATATCTTCAGATACTTGAAGGGCTCCCCAAAAGTTCCTGTCTTGCTACATAGGAGATGAACAGTTCTAGAAGAATAGCTAAGCACTTAATAATATAAGCCAAGGCACTGTAACATGCACCATCTCACTGACACAATGGGTACTATTATCGAACCTGTTTTGTAGAGGAGAGAGCAGGTCTAACGAGAGTCAGCTGCCCAGGGTTCTGCAACTAGTAAGGAATGGAGCCAGGAGTTCATGCAGGCAGAAAGTTCTAATAAAACTACTTTGCAGTAACTTTTGAGGAATAATAGAGGAAATTTCCTCAAATCCCGTTGTCCCTTCCATCTTGAAGAGAGGGCAAGGACTAGATTACCACGTGTAACCCTCTGCCTCCCCTAGGACTTAAATGAAGTTTACATATAGATGCAGATGGCAAATCCAGGAAGTCTTGGTATTCTTCTCACTTCCTCTAACAAACGGCCATGCTTTCCCCCGTTACTGATTTACTGCTCATCACCACCAGGTGGCACTTGGGTAGCAGAATTGTCTCTGGGCAGGGACCCACCCTGTTGACTTGTTCTGGTGCCTGCATTGCAGCTGCTGATCCTGTGGCTCCTGGGCCCCAGCTGGGAAGAGACCTTCCGGAGGATGGGCTTTTGTCTTCCAGAGACCGTCTTTAGTAGAAGGGTCTGATGATCCAGATGGGGTGAGAAAGTGGAGAAGCTTGGAGAGGAAACCCCGTTGGTCGTGCTCTCCACCCCCTTGCCTAAGTGACCTGCTCCTCCTACTCCAGTGCTTGGCAAATTTCAGTTTACAGAGAGGTTTCCCTCTGAGGAGGCTCATCCATTTTCCTGCTTTAGTTCTGCTCTCTCAGTTGGTGAGCAGGTCACCCTTACTTCTTCCAAACTCCAGGAGCTCCTTCCTACCTGCTTAGCTCTGAGAACATGGAAGATGCACACAGGAGATAGAAAGCTGTTCCCTGTGCAGTTCTGCACACTGAAGGAAGCACTCTGGATACTGTTAGCCTCAGGGAAGTAGAGAAGGGGAAGTGGGAAAATTTAAGGGGGTAAGGCTGAGCAGGGATAAGTTTTATTTTTAAGATTTTATTTATTCATTCGAGACAGAGAGCATGAGCAGGGGGAGAGGGAGAAGCAGGCTCCCCGCTGAGCCAGGAGCCCGATGTGGGGCTCGATCCCAGGACCCTGGGATCATGACCTGAGCCAAAGGCATGAGCTTAACCATCTGAGCCACCCAGGCGCCCCCAGGGATAGGTTTTAAACAGCGAAACACGGTCTGATGAAATCTGTGCCCTGCAGAGGCAGATATTTATCAGCTGCAGATCTAGGCTCTCCCCACCAATCAACCCTACTTCCCCTGCTGCACTAAACAATAACACAACAAGCCCTACACATACTGCATTAAAAGATAATCATTTTATAACCAACTCTTCCCTCCTGGGCTTCCAGTTTAGTTTCTAAGTCCCTGGACAACACTCCTAAGTGCAGTTAAGTAGTAACAGTGGTCATCAACATACCCTGCACTTCTCCCTTCCTAAACTTACCCAGTACAACATGGAATTGCATTAGTTCTACATCTGACTGTATTCCGAACTTTCCTTCCAATTCAGGCAAATAAGAAACAGAATTGTCTCATTACTCTTGATTTCTCATTTTAGTGTCCTAGCAGTTCCACAGGCTCAGGAAATTCTTGGAAAATGTAATCAAATCCGCTGCAGCTGAGGCGTCTCCCCTCCCCCCCATCTTTTGGGAGCCAATTCACCTCGTCCTCTATGATAGAAATAACTAAGTTTTGGAGATTTCTAAAAAAAAAAAAAAATAAAGCCTCATTTCCTAGTCACGCCGTTCTCTCCCTCTCTCTCCCTCTCGTCCCTGAAGTCTGGATAATCTCAACTCTGTAATTCTCGTATTTTCCAGTTTCTAGCGGCTATCGTTGCACTGCACAAAGTACAGGAGGGGACAGGATAGACAGGGTCGGTCATCGAACATTTTCATTCCAGATGGGGTGTTTTCCTTTTCTTTTTAAGGACAGCCAGGGAAACATTGAAGGATAAGTAATGTACTTAGAGTATGAAGACTAGGGAAAACTGACAAACGAACATGTAGGAATCCCAGACAAATCCTCCCAAGCCGTCCGATTGGAGTGGAAGTAAATTATGATCCTCTACAACCCCTCAACTTGGCAACCCCAAGTGCCTGTAAAACAGAGTAATTGGCGGTGCGGCTCCGCCTGACGTCATACCGCAGCACTCCGATCCCACGTGGGGGAGCGCCTGGTCCGCCTCTCTTTAAATGGTACGCCGCGCCTCCTTCTCTTTCTGACCAATCAAGTGCCGCTCTGTAGCCTCTTTCCTCCTTTTCCCGCCGTCCCAGACCGCCCATCTTGGCACGCCGGTCTAATCAAGGAGGTCCTGCCTCTGCCGAACCCTACCGGCTCCCGGCGGAAGAGGGGCAGGGTTTCTATCTTTTGACTCCACCTTGGTCTGTGCAGCGCCGGCCAACCCGAGCCGTCAGATCGAGGGGGCGTGGCTTAGGTCCCCTCCCGCAGTGTGCGGTTTACTGTTTGCAGGGGGCTGCTGGGCGCTAGACTAAGCAACCTCCAGCTGGTCTGTGGGTCGGGCGGGTCCTCCTAGAGGTGGCACCATGGAGCGCTCTCCCGGAGACGGCTCCAGTCCCAGCCTCATGGACCAGCCCTCTGCTCCCTCCGACCCCCCTGACCAGCCTCCCGCTGCTCACACAAAGCCGGACCTCAGTTCTGGAAACCAACCTGCCGGCCCAGGGGCGGCGGGCGAGGCACTGGCGCTGCTGACTTCGTTCGGGCGGCGACTGCTGGTGCTGGTGCCGGTGTACCTGGCCGGCGCAGTAGGACTCAGCGTGGGTTTCGTGCTCTTCGGCCTCGCCCTCTACCTGGGCTGGCGCCGGGTCCGCGATGAGAAAGAACGGAGCCTTAGAGCAGCGCGGCAGCTGCTGGACGACGAGGAGCGGCTCACGGCGAAAACACTTTATATGAGCCATCGAGAGCTACCTGCCTGGGTGAGCGAGCACCCTCAGTGCTGCATAGCCCCCCTTCTTAGTTCCCCGGTTCTAGGGGTCTCCCTCCTGTCCCTAAAGGCAGCTCCCCACCCTGGGACCACGGGAGGGAGACTCCCCTCTCGCCCCGCTGGCCGCCTGCCTGCTGGGACGCGCCTCTTGGGACCGAGGAGCCACTCTTCCCCCTCCCCCCTCCTTTCCGCGCGCCCAGATCCCGATCCTTCTACAGAATCAGGATTTCTTCCTCTGCTCCTGGGCAAGCAGTAAGAACATCTGGGGAACCGGTCTCAGCCGTGGCCCGCCCTCCTAGCCATGCTGCTTGAGCGCTCCTCACTTCTGGTGCCGCTCGCGCCTTGCTGCTCCCGGACATCCCCGTTGCGGCTCAGAGGGTTTCCTCGTCTGTCCAGTCTTCCTTGAGACTTTTTTTTTTTTTTGCCTATATAAGGCCATAAGGTTCTCCCTTTTCCCGCTCTTATCCCCGGGGACCCGCCGGGACCCAGCCCCAGGAGCACTGCCCAGGAGAGCCGCCGCCCCCGATCGACCGCCTCGCCCTCGCCTTCCAGCCCCAGGCAGTTGGGCCGCAGCGCCTCACAGGCGGCTGCGGGACGCAGGGCGGGGGTGCGGGGGGGAGTGTAGTGCGGCTGCTGCAGTGCCCGCTGCCCACACTCCACCGGCCCTGGTCGGCCCCACCCTTTTCCGGACTGTGCGCTGCGCCTGCTGGGTCCGGGCACCCGGGCCCTAGGTCTGCGCCCCCTCGCCTCCTGCCTTCTCTCCGGCCCTGCTAGGGCAGCGCCCGTTACCCGGCCCCTCCCCGCCTCCGCTTTCCTGCCCTTCCCCCAGAGGCGCCAGTCTGGGGGGAGAATGGCCGAGGAGAGGAACGAAAGTTGACAATAGGCAGATAGGGCCATGCTGCGCAGGCCCCGGACTGGAGAGGGGGAAAGGGGGAGACCTCGTCCCAGGGGACGTGCAGCCCAGGCAGCAACTGTCTTCGTCCCTCCTGCTCCGCATCATGGAAAGCGGTCTCCTTCCTGAAGCGGCTATCCCTCTTCCTCCCCACCACAAAGCACAGGTGTCCTTCTTTTCCATAAAAGGAGTCACACTGATAAAGAAGAAGAAGAAAAACAACACGGCTAGGGCCTAAATAGCTCTTCTGGCCCCTCCCTAACTCTAGGAGCTGCTTCCCTCTTCACCTTCTCGGTGTGGAAGCAGCTCCAGTCCAAGGTGAGGTGGGAAGGCTGCAAAAAGGGACCAAGACTTCTCCAATCCCAGCATTTCCTCCTTAAACTCTGATTTGTCAGGACCTCCCCCTCCAGAAAGAATGTGCCCTTCTCCTCCCTCCCCCGCTGCTCCAGCAGCTGTCATCATTTCACATCCCCCAGCTGTCCACAAAGCAACTTTGCGTGGTCCACAGCCTGTCAGGGCCCCCCATCAGACTGCAGTACCCCCAAACCCTGAGGAGTGAATGCTCTGGACATCCCAGCACCCCCCCCCCACCATCGAACCCTGGGTGTGAGGAGGTCCTGTCACAGCTTCTCCTTTCCTCTGTGGGCATGCCACCCAGCATCTTAGTAGGAAACCCCAGGTGGAGGGTGTGCTTATCTCTCTCTCCCCCTTCCTCACCTCCAGGTCAGCTTTCCAGATGTGGAAAAGGCTGAGTGGCTAAATAAGGTGAGTGTTGGTTGTTTTTCATGAACAGGGAATGGGGTTCCTTTCTCTAGCCAGACCCTGCCATGCATCAGGTCTAGCCCTAGTGCCCTCTGTAGGCAGGACTCTGAAGGAACTTGTCTTTAGGGGGATGATTAGGCTCTCCTATGACAGGTTCCCTCTCCTTCCAGATTGTGGCCCAGGTGTGGCCCTTTCTGGGGCAGTACATGGAGAAGCTTCTGGCTGAAACTGTGGCCCCAGCTGTTCGAGGCTCTAACACCCATCTGCAGACTTTTACATTTACACGAGTGGAACTGGGCGAAAAGGTATGTGCGTAGGAAGGAAAGTAATGGGAGGAAGGAGACAGGTGGGTGGCCCAGAAGGGGCTGAGATACTCCTCCCTTTCCCTCTTCTCTCTCTCAAGAATTTATCTCTCCGCAGCCATTGCGTATCGTAGGCGTCAAGGTTCACCCTGGTCGGAGCAAAGAACAGATCCTGTTGGATTTGAACATCAGGTAATACCGCTCATTCTTCCAGCCTCCCGTTCAACAGGATCCTGGTCACTCTGACCACTTCACCCCCTCTCCCCCTAGTTCAGCCCAGTACCAACTCTTTGTTCTCTTCCTTATCAACCGCCAGTTATGTAGGTGATGTGCAAATTGATGTGGAAGTGAAGAAATATTTCTGCAAAGCAGGAATCAAAGGCATGCAGGTGGGGCAGATGTCAGGGGCCCCCGTGATAGGGAGCCTTTTCCCTAAATTTCATCAGATGTGGGGAAGTGGGAGGTTGGAAAGACCAAGGCTGGGGAAGTTTGGGGCAGAAAGAAGGCCTTTTGTGGAGAAATGCTCTGTTCTTCTCTTGCTCCAGCTACATGGTGTCTTACGGGTGATTCTCGAGCCACTCATGGGGGACCTTCCCATCGTGGGAGCTGTGTCAATGTTCTTCATCCGGCGCCCGGTAAGGGAAAACACTGAGGGGGGTGGGGGAGCAGGGAAAACAGGGTTGGGAGGGAGAGGGTGGCCAGCTCCGGGGCTTGGGGGAGGAAGGGCTGAGGGCTCTGACAACTGTTGGATGGGTGTGACCATGCCACCATGTCGTCTGTCCTGAGCCCACTGCTCTTTCCTTCCAGACCCTAGATATCAACTGGACGGGGGTGACCAACCTGCTGGATATCCCAGGACTCAGGTGTCAAGGATTTATTGAGCACCTAAATGGTCCAGCTCTGGGCTGCAGGTTTTTGGGATACAAAACAGTAAACGATGCAGCCAGTACTCTCCAGGAGCCTTGATCATCCTGGCTGGAGAGATGACAAGTACCCCTGAGAAGTTCCATACTGTGATTTCCCTCCTGCGGGGGAGCATGCGTTTGGGTAGAGAGTGAAGAGGGCTGCAGGCTGCTCTGTGGGGTAAACAGAAAACGAAGAGCTGGGATGGCAGTGAAGGTTCAGAGCAGTAGGTGGGGAATCGAGGTAGAAAAGTAGCAAAAAAGGATTCTCAAGAAAGGATGTCCCTCTAGCTTTGGGTCTCTCTTGGTTGTGGGAAGCAGAGCTGGGGTTGGGGGGATATTGGAAGTTGGGGCCACACTCACCTCCTTTTCTACTCCCCCGTTCAGCTCCCTCTCTGACACCATGATCATGGACTCCATTGCCACCTTCCTTGTGTTGCCCAACCGATTATTGGTGCCCCTTGTGCCTGACCTTCATGATGTGGCCCAGTTGCGTTCCCCTCTTCCCAGGGTATGGCCTCTCTCCCATCCAATAAATCCTCCTCTCAGGAACCTCTGCTGGGTCCTTAGTTTCTCATGATCTGATTCCTCTGCACAGGGCATTATTCGGATTCACCTGCTGGCTGCCCGAAGCCTGGGCTCCAAGGACAAATATGTGAAGGGCCTGATTGAGGGCAAGTCAGACCCCTATGCACTCGTGCGAGTGGGCACCCAGGCATTCTGCAGTCAAGTCATTGATGACGACCTCAACCCCCAGTGGGGAGAGACTTATGAGGTGGGAGAGCTGAGGAGTGGGACTGTCAAATGGGGGAGGCCCTGGGGACCAGCCGTGAGAGAAAATGCTGATTGGATGATCCTCATAAAGTAGCCCATGAGACCCGTCCCTGTGTGTCCTTCAGGTGATGGTGCACGAGGTCCCAGGGCAGGAGATTGAGGTGGAGGTGTTTGACAAGGATCCAGACAAAGATGACTTTCTGGGCAGGTGAGACTCTGCCTGTGTTAGGATTCTAAAGCCTCAGTGCTACCAGGGTCGCAGAGGTAATTACAATCCTTTTCCAGACCTGAGAATTGTGTATCATTTTCCTTCCCGACCTCCCCACCCCTCGCCTCCACCATGCATGCGTGTGCGTGTGCACGCGCGCACACACACACACACACACACACACCTGCTGAGTATAAGAAGGGAGTCTGAGATTCGCCACTTATTTCTAGGTGGGTGAGTGCAGAGGCAATGACATGCTCCTAATTACAGCTCTCTCCTTTTTCTGTCCTCATTGCCACCCCCCACCCCTTCCAGGATGAAGCTGGACGTGGGGAAGGTATTGCAGGCTGCAGTACTGGATGATGTAAGTTGAGAGAAGAGGAAGAGGAAGCGAGGTCTCACCCACTGGGCTGACAGTCTTGCTACATTGGTGGGGAGGAGGTGGTGTGAATATCTGATTTCTGTTATACCTCACTTTCTTCCTCTCCCGCCAGTGGTTTCCTCTGCAAGGTGGGCAAGGCCAAGTTCACTTAAAGCTAGAATGGCTGTCACTTTTACCAAATGCAGAAAAACTGGAGCAGGTAACCAACGTGGGAAATAGGAAGCTGGAAATATCGGGGACTAGAGGGCAAGGGTCTGACTACTCCCACCGCCCCCTTCCCTCCAGGTGCTGCAGTGGAACCGAGGAATCGCCTCCCGCCCAGAGCCCCCATCAGCCGCCATCTTAGTTATCTATCTGGATCGGGCCCAGGATCTTCCTGTGAGTGTGGCTTCTGAGGGCGGCTGAACAGGAAGCTCTGGATGCAGCATTCCCATACCCGCACTTGCCCCTCCCCCACTCGGCTTCAGAAGCAGCGGCATGTAACACAAGGGTTCCAAGGAGGGGATCAGAGCCACGTCAGGGAAAAGATTCTGAGAGCCCACGTTCCTTCACTGAGACAAAACCAAAAACACCCAAGATGGTGACTTCTGAATTCTACCCCTACAGCTGAAGAAGGGGAACAAGGAACCCAACCCCATGGTACAACTATCAATTCAGGATATGACCCAGGAGAGCAAGGTGAGGGCTAGGGCAGCATTGTGGGAGATTGCGTGTGTGTGCGTGTGCGCACACACGCACATGCACATCTGGGTGGGAGGACTGTTCTTGGGATGAAGTCTCCCCTTTGGGCTGCCTGTAAAGGCAAAGGTTTTCTGGAGAAACAGGAATGGTACTGCAGTACATACCCTTAATCCCATCCTGTGCACCTCCAGGCTGTCTACTGCACCAACAGCCCGGTGTGGGAAGAGGCTTTCCGGTTCTTCCTACAAGATCCTCGAAGCCAGGAGCTCGATGTGCAGGTGAGATAATCACCTATTGAGCCCCTCCTGAATGCCCTCTTCTGCCTTCCCAGGTCTGCATCACGTCCCTCTTTCTTCCCTTTGATCATACTCCAGTCCATCTACTTAGACTCTTCATCTCCTTCATGCTCCCCACTCTTCCCCCACGGTCTCTCTAGAATCATTATTTTTTTATTTTGGAGAACGCATGTGCATGTACGAATGGGGTGGAGGACAGAGGGAGAGAGAATCTCAAGCAGACTGCCCAGTGAGTGCAGAGCCTGATGCAGGGCTCGATCCCAGGACCCTGAGATCATGATATGAGCCAAAACCAAGAGTCAGTCAACCAGCTGAGCCACCCAGGCACCCCTTTAGAATCATTCTTTATAGGGGCACCTGGCTGGCTCCGTTGGAAGAGCATGCAACTCTTGATCTTGGGGATATGAGTTCAAGCCCTATGTTGGGTAGAGAGATTACTTAATAAACTTCTTTTTTAAATATTTACTTGAGAGCGAGTGCATGAGTGGAGGGGAGGGGCAGAGGGAGAGGGAGAAGCAGACTCCCCACTGAGCAGAGAGCCTGACGTGGGACTCGATCCCAGGACCTGGAGAGCATGACCTGAGCCAAAGGCAGATGCTCAACTGACTGAGTCACCCAGGTACCCCTAAACTTTTAGAATCATTTTTTAAAATTAATTTATTTATTTTTGAGAGAAAGTGCACGTGCACAAGCAGAGGAGATGGGCAGAGGGAGAAGCAGACTCCCTGCTGAGCGGGGGGCCTGATGCGGGGCTCCATCCCAGGACTCTGGGGTCATGACCTGAGCCGAAGGCAGATGCTTAACTGACTGGCGCCCCAGAGTAATTTTTTTTTTTTTTA